ACCTCAAGAGGAACTCAGGCTCAGGTTGCCTCAAACATATTCAAGAAAGACACCATGGCAAAAATCATGTTTACACATTCCTGCTCCCTACATCATCCAAAACAAGGAAGAAAAATACCATTTCCCTTCTTTTCCTGCCTCTAACCCACTGCAAGCTGCTGGTCATGTCACCAAACACAGGAGTGGAGCTGGAAACACTTGAAAATATTAATACAGCATTTGTGTGCACTTGGGCATGATAATTGCATTTATTACATGGCCAGGAAAACCTACAGCCCAGGCTGCTCTTCTTCCCTGCCACAGAATTTATTTTCATTCCATCTTCCTCCTTTCCCTCACTCTGTGAAATCTTTCCCAGGTGGAGATGTATTTAAATACACTTCTTGAAGAGATAAGCAGGGCAGACCGAAAGAAATAGCTGCTAACAGGCAGGGAATCACCCTTTGGGCTGAAAATTAAACCAGTGTGGGGCAACTTTCACCGGATCTGCTCCAACAATCCCAGCCTGAGAGCTGAGATTACTCATGGCAGCAAGACACGGGTTGTTAATTGTATGAGACACTCGGGAGCAGCCCTGGCAGCCCTCCAGCAGCTCACACATCCCCTCTGTGCCTGCAGGGCTCCCTGCTCCCATCTCCTACTGCACACAGGGCTGTGGGAGCCAGGGGAAACAGCAGCACCCAGGGACCCTCCTCTGCCCCAGGGTACCCCGAGCAGTGGGAGACAATCTCACCCCCTGAGCTCTTCCTCCACTGAGCCTCACTGCTCTGCTCCCACTTTCCTGTCTCGGTTACCCATAGAAAGAGCTGGCCCAAAACTCCAGAGATGAAGCCCAAATACTGCAGAATGTGGTGGAGGGACCTGAAAGAGCTGTAGGGTGAACCCTCCTCAGGTGACAGGAGGGACACAAAGTCAGGCTCCTCGCAGCTCTGTTCACATTCACTCACCCCTGAGGGGCTGCAAGGAAGAAAAGAAAAAGCTCTGGTGCTCCTGGAATGTGCATTTGCTAGGGTGCAGATTTCAAGTTTTAGCCACAAAGGGAGTAAAGGTTTCCAAAAAGTTTATTTGTTGTTTTGGTCCTCAGTAGTTTCAAAGTCAGATTTCAGATGAATTCAGATGCTGCCCATGAAATGTTACAGATGGAGCTGCTGGGGACTGCCTGCCTGGCCTAGGCTTGAACCTCTGTTAAAAATCTGCTCTTCCTTGTTATTCAGCAGAGAATTAAACACATCAGCTGTCCTTTTCCATCTGCATTCCAAGGTAAAGCTCAGCAGCAGGGCTGGAGTTCATCTGACAGCTGGCACAGAAGGCAGGGTGCTGAATTGGCCTTTTTTTCTGCAAACAACAGAATTTGGGGTGGATCTGAGGGGTGGAGCTGGAGGGACTCTGCCCTGGCATCCCCTGAGAGTGTCTGTACGTCTGTCTGTCCTTTGCACACGCAGTCATTCAGGTCTGGCTGAGACCCTGGGGAGCTCAGAGGGTGAAAAATGAGATTATACTTTGTTTTCTATACTGCTGCTCTTCCAGGGGACGTGGCAGCCCTTTTTCATCCCTGACAGGACTCATGCCTTCTCCTGTGAGTGGCAGAGGGATTCCTGCAGCCAACTTTACCAGGCTGGGAAAACTCCATGTGTTTTCAAACGTTTCTTCAGCTCTGGGACATTATCACCTCTGGCGGGTTCAGAGAGGGTTCTGGGCTGGAGACCAAGCTTTTATCAAATAAAGAAGTCATGACTGTCTGAACCAGGCCTTGGTTCTTTCCCAGGCTGTGTCTGCCTCTGTGATAATCCCTGGGAATGCCAACAAACGCCTGTGTTCTCCCAGAACATGCAGCAGCTGCCCTGAGCAGCTCAGGGCCAGGCACCAGCCGTGGCAGTAGGAGCAGGGAAGGAAGTTGTGTTTTACAGCCAGGGGAAGCCAAGGCTGTTCCAGATACACATAAACTGCCTCCTGTGTGGAGAAAGCATCAGCTTCCAGTCTTTGGCAAGTACACTGGATAACAGAGGTGTTTTCATGGAATCATGGATTGGTTGGAGTTAAAAGGGACCTGAGATTCAGCTCATCCCACCCCTGCCATGGCAGGGACACCTCCCACCATCCCAGGCTGCTCCCAGCCCTGTCCAGCCCGGCCTTGGGCACTGCCAGGGATCCAGGGGCAGCCCCAGCTGCTCTGGGCACCCTGTGCCAGGGCCTGCCCACCCTGCCAGGGAACAATTCCTGCCCAATATCCCATCCAGCCCTGCCCTCTGGCACTGGGAGCCATTCCCTGGCTCCTGTCCCTCCAGGCCATTGTCAACAGCCTCTCTCCATGGTTCTTGTCAGCCCCTTCAGGTACAATACAGGGCAGGGCAGAGTGCCTACCCTGCACATCATACTAGAGACCTAAAGAAACAAAATGCTAAGCAGTAGCATCCTTTTCCTGATTTAAATGCCTGAAGAACTGCACAAGGAGGAGGGTGAGGAAGAGCTTCACATCCAGCAGGAGCTCAGGGATGAAACAAGACAGAGAACAGAAAACTTCAGACTCCTTCTTGCCTGGCTCATCCCCGTCCTTCGGGGTGTTATTCAAAAAGGGATTTATGGTGAGCTTTAGTTAGAAATCTGGCATTGCCTCTTTGGGCTCTGGCTGCTCCGACTTTGCTCCTAATGCAGCAATTTTTATAGGAAATCAGGAACTCATTTAGCAGCTTTAGGTTGGTGTTTCAGAAGGAGAAGTGGAACTGCTGGGTTAAGTTGCTGCTTTATGGGCAGGAGTTACGGGATCTGGGATACTGGTGCTGAGGGACTTGGCCCCAGTCCCCTACCAGCAGCAGGGTGGTTTATAGGGACCCCGTGCAAACTTTACAGGAAGGGACTGGCTGGGGAGCTGGGATGGAGGAGGGCAATTCCTACAGCACAGCTTCCCACAGGAATCCGGGATTGACTTGGAGGTGGTCCATGAGAAAGCAAAACGTGCTGAGATCACAGCTGAGCTGATAGAGAAGAGGGAATCCTTCCCCAGCTGGAGGCTGATCTATACATGTAAATATGTGAAGTCACAGCTTCCATTAAAGTCTATCCATGGCCAGCATCTTGGCATGGATAACTGCTCCCTGTGATTCATAGGATTGACCTGGATTTCAGCAGCCAGGGAGAATCTGCAGGATCTTACCTCGGCAGCACCAAGAGTTCAGCAGAGGGGTGGAAATTATGGACCAAGAAGACAAAAATGTGGGGGAGGATGTGTGCATGAAACAGCTTGGGAGTTTAGGAAAATATCCAGCCTCCCACCAAGTTGCTAGGGGATAATTAATGAAATGCCTCATTCTCTCCGGTTTTGCTTCCAATCTTCTCCTCCCCAGGGCCGTGAGCCATCATCAAAGAACGGCGGGGTTTGGCGTGGTGGCTCAATAGTGATGGATGGCTGCAAAGGAGCAGGTTTGGAACCCACCTCACCTCCCCCTGTAGGAAATGAGTCACAGCACAGGTGGCCAAAATGCAGGTGGAGAGGGACCCAAGGCTCCCTGGGGCTGTTGGTGTCACCTGGCACACGAGGGACACGATGGGACAGGCACCAGCCCCTTCTGGATGTCTCCTGATTGTTTTTTGGGAGCTGATGGATCCTGCCAGGCTGCTCACACCACTCCAGCTGGCAGAACTCCTCGGCTGGGAGCACCACACATCAGAAAAGACAGGAAAATCAGGAGGAAAAGCTCCAAAGCAAAGAGATAGGAGTGATCCGAGCTCTGGAGAATGTGACCTGCGATGAAAGATGGAAGAGACTCGGTCCATTTAAGCCTGGAGAAGGCAAAGGGGAAGATGTGATAACAGTGCTCAAATATGTGGAAGGGAATTGCAGGAAGAAAGGAATAAAGTGTTTCCTGAATAATTTAGAGAAGCTGTGGATTTGCCAAGGTTGCAGTTTCCGAGCAGGTTGGGCTGTTATCAGAGAACAGTTCAGATACAGCAAATTCAGCCCTGGGCATGGGGCTGCTTAAATCATTCCTTAAGGTACCTTTCAGATTTTTCTATGATCTGTAATTTAAAAAAATAACTCTTCTATTGCTCCAGGTGAAGAGCACAGCAACAACAGCTAACATGGACAAAACAACCTGATACTTAGAGCTAAAGGATAGCAATACCCAAAATATCTCCATAAAATCATATTTTTTTAATGGAACCTGCAACTTAACCATCAGATCAAAACATATAAAGGGTTATTTGTGGGGTGACTTGAGGCTAAGGGGAAATTAATGTTCCACTCATTCATTTTAGAAATATCCTCATTAGTAATTGCCCCATTTTTAGTCAGAAGAAAACAGTGCACTCAAATTCCTGGCAGCAAAACACTTCCCTCGCTCTAGATAAATATTGATATTGGCCTTAAGTCAGTTTACAAAAAGAAATGGAAAGAAAACAACAGCTCTGGTGATGCCTGTCAGGCTTTGAAGCATCTTTTGAGAGACTGTTTGGTGAGTATCATTGTGCAGGACACAAAGTCAAAGCTATTCGCTATTAATTGTCTGCTGTGAGGAATCCAGGAGAAGGATCCTGTGGAGCTGGGATGTGGCTGGCAGTGCTCAGCCCCTGGCCCAACACAGGCACCAAAATTCCCACAAAAAGATCAATCTTCAGCCCAGTTCACCAGGGCTGTGCCCCCTGAGGGCTTTCCGTCTCCAGAACTGAAGTCTGGCCTTTGGTTGGGAAGTTGTGGAGATTAAGAGTGGAAACATGGCGCAAAACAGAGGAATTGTTCCTGGCAGGGTGGGCAGTGCCTGGCACAGGGTGCCCAGAGCAGCTGGGGCTGCCCCTGGATCCCTGGCAGTGCCCAAGACCAGGCTGGACAGGGCTGGGAGCAGCCTGGGATGGTGGAAGATGTTCCTGCTCTTTACAGGGGGTGGAATGGGATGAGCTTGAAGGTTCCTTCCAACCCAAACCATTCTTTGATTCTATTACACAATTCTGTGGGCTGTGACTTCACAGACACTGGTCCCTTGGAAAGTTGAAAGCGTCAATTTAACTCCAAGACAAGACAAAGCAAGTGCCTTTCTGCCAAACAGAAAAGAAGGATTTATGCTGAGGTGATTATTTACCACCTATTATTTGGCACTGGCACTTCATTTGTCAGGAATATCAGGCAGCTTTCATTTGTGAGATATGGGAAATAGCTGCAAAGAAAATAGAAATGGCTTAAGTCATCCACAAACTCACTGCAAACTAATCCTAGGTCCTCAATCATGGTGTCTTGTAAAAGTCTGACTCTTCTGTTCTCAGCTCCATCCCTTTTTTTACAGAATGAACTAATCACAGAGTGAACTAAGTTGGAAAAGATTTTCAAGATCATCAAGTCCAACCTTTCTGCTGGGGAAGTCCCAGATCTCCTGTCAGGATCAGAAGTTAGAAGACATTACAGAAAGGCCCATGTGAAGGAAATTGTTGTGTGCAGATCTGGGGAGGACCTGCTGTAACAGCTCAGAGATGTCAAATGTTGTCCCGTGCCTCAGTTTCCGTGTGTGAATGAAGACTCACGGGTGCTGTGTGCAGCCTGTGCTGCTCTGACACATTTTCTGTCACAGCCAGGAGCAGCCTGAGCTCTCTGAGGGTCACTGCGGGCTGCCAGGGGTGCAGACCTGCAGGAATCCCAGCTCACCTTCCAGCCACCATCACTCCCGGGATGTGATGATCAGCCCAATCCTCAGGATTTTCCACTTGTTACAAGGACAGGATGGCAGCCCCACAGCTCAGAAAATCATCAGATGAGCAGGAAACGACCTCAGCCTCTCCTTTTTCAGTGTCCCAGCAGGATGTGTGGAGGAGAAGATGCAGTTTGGAAAGCCAGGGCAGCACACAGGGGAGTCAGGCAGGAGGAGAGAGGTTTTGGGTTCCTCCTGCACTGTGTGACCTCAGGCACATCACTCAGCCTCTGCCCCCACTCCCACTCTCTGTGCTGTGGGCAGGGGGATCCCTGGATCACCTTCTCCCACACTCATTTCACCCCATTATTCCACATAAAAGGTCTATTCCAGAAAAGCTTTGCATATAAACAAATCCAGCAGCACAGAGTTTCTCACACAAATTCATTCAGCTTCAGATCTATCTGCTCTTTCTTGCTTTGCTGGATAACTGAGGAGCTCCACATATCCCAGTATTTTATTTTTTTCCCCCAGTAATACACTTACATATTTACTTCACCTCTCAATATTCTCTTTTACAAGTTAAATATATTTAACCAATATATGTTCTTGTTCTGAAGCATTTTCTCAGCCCTCATGTAACTTCTGAACCTTTCTTTGCAAGCTTTTGCATTCCCTACAGAGCCAGACTGATGTCACAGTAGCACAGCTTTGGAGATGTGATGACACAAGACATCACAGAGGCAGATTTTGGGGGCAGGAATCATGTAATTAATTAGATCAAATGGAATTAGAAGGAAAAAGTTTCATAAACATGATTTTTTTAGGTTAAGCTCCCCAGCAGTGCCATAGAAGGGGACTGAATCACCCTGTTAGTCCTGCTGTGGCTCCACTTGAGCAGAAGCAACGGGATGAACTCTGCACTGACAGATCCTCTGCTGCCTGATCTGCTCTGCCTGTCACCGTGGGCACAACAAAAGCCAAGGGCACGCTGCCCTGGGTGACGTGGGAATCAATCACAGTGACTGAGAGATGGGAGAAAGGCTCCTTCAAAACCTCCCTCTGCTTTTCAAAGGGAGAAAGTTTGTCTTGGCAGAAAAGTGAGATCTGCGTGGAAGATTTTAAAATGTGTGCTGAAGAGTTTTGACAGCTGCTTTTTTGCCAGGAAGGTTATTTGAAATTCTGCTATCCAGAGCTGTCATGTCTTCTGCGCTTCTTAAACTCTTGTGGAGCTCCCTCTGATCTCTGGCATGTCCAGCATTCCCTGGAGTTATTCTCTGAGCATTACTTTTCTCCTTCTGATTCAGCTCTTGGACTCATCTTCCAGATGAGGCTAAAAATGGTTGTAGGATGGATGAGCTGCTGTGCGAGGCTGAGCGAGCCCCGCGGGCCAGGCTGAAATATCCAAACAAACAGAGGAACAAACAGCGATTCTGGGAGCACACACAGCAGCAGAGAGCACCCAGCAGCCCTGGCCAAAGCCCTCTGTGCTCGTCTCCATGGCCCTGTGCTGCAGGATAGATACTGAATAGCATCTTGGAATAGTTTGGGTTGGAGGGACCGTGGGGATCACCTCGTTCCACGCCCTGCCGTGGGCAGGGACACTTCCACTCACTCACAGGGGGTTTGTCCAAGGAGAGGTTTCACAGACTGAAATGAAGGAATCATCCAATTAATTAACACTTTGGATCCCATTATTTCTTTGTTGTTTCGTAGTTTTTTTCCAAATTCAGCCAAGATTGAGTGCATACCCATTTTGTCAGGAGTGGGTATAAACTGTTATAAAAGGGGATGAACTGTTGTAGTGGCTGTAACTTATAACAAACTGAGATAAACCAATACAGCACCACATTCAAGCTACCAAACTGACCCAAAACTGTGAGCCCTAAGGAGACTCACAGAAATGATTGGCAGCTGAAAAACTATGGAATCTCCAAAGGATCCTCCAGATATTTGGCAATATCTGATTGTACAGGGGCTGGGAAGTGCTTTTTTTATTTACAGAGAGTGTCAAAAGCTGTGGGGACAGCAAAAAGGTGAGTTGGGGATTTTGTCTGTTTTGTTTTGTTGTGCTCTCAATCTGTGGGTAATTTTTTTGATCTAAGCTGATTTATTCCCAATCTGAAGATGAAATAAAATAGGTTCTCTCTTTCCTAGCCTTGGTCTGGCACTTGCTCTGTGTGAATTCCACATCAACACACGCCCGTGGATCCAACTCCTCCAAACTTCATCCCAAGCTCTGGAAAACAAGCAGGCTGAAAAGTGCAGCTTAATGGCATCCATGAGACATCCTTAATTCCCCTGATTCTCTCATTAATTTTCTCCTCTCTAATTGCCCACAAGTGGCTCGGGGCAAAGGGAAGAGGAAGGCGAAGGATGCGGCGGGGAGGGAAGGGATGCATTTCGTGGAGCAGGCACTAGCCGGCGTGGTCCCCACAGCCATCACAACCTGTCCTGGTCCCCAGCTCAGACACACGCTGGGAAACGAGGATTGTTCAAGGGGAATAACGAAAGGGAGAATCCTGATGTTCGGGGGAGTTGTGTGCGAAGAGAAAACCCCGGGGGTGCTGTCAAAGGGTGGATGGATGTTATTAAATGGCTCTGAATTGTACAATCACAGCATGGTTTGTGTTGGAAGGGACCTCAAAGATGCTTTAATTCCACTCCTGCCACAGGCAGGGACTCCTTCCACTCTCCCAGGGTGCTCCAGCTCCAGCCTGGCCTCGGGTACTTCCAGGGATGCAGGGACTGCTCCTGGCTGCCTCTGGCACAGACCATCACAAGGCTTTAGGACAATTTCTTCAGTGATTCAGCAAAGCAGGGCCTGCCCAGACAGATTTGCCTCCCTGATGCAAGGAGGACACAAACTGTCTCTAAATCTGAAATTATCTATTCCCCATCTGATCTACCACTGTCTCTCTGTCCTGCAGCATCTCGCCTTTGCCTACCACACCTGAGCACCTCTGTGCTGCCCCAAAAATGATAAGCAAACCTCCCCCAGGCCTGCTTCACCCCACACTCCCTTTCTGCCCCTCTGAGCTCTGCATTTGGTTCCTCCTTGGATTTACCTTCCCTGGATGCAGCAGTGAGGAGCCCCCCAGCTCCTCCTGAAAGGTGTGGGGTCCCCCACAGCTGCTCCCCAGGAATTTGGGAAAAGCTGAACTAACCAAAGCTGAGCCTTTCCAGGAGTTGTGGCTGATTCCTGAGGGCATCACTCACTTTTCTAAACTTTTACCAATGAAGCACAGAACAAGGTGTTAAGAGGGAAGCAGCAAACATAAATCTCTTTCTTCTCATCCTATAAGGGAATTATTCATCTATCTCCAAAAGGTGCTAGGCAGATCTGATAGTCTTTAGAAAATTACATTTTACTTTATTTTAAAACATTTACATTTACATTACTTTAAAACATGGAGGGTTTTTTTTCAGTATTTCACTGGAATTTTGAAAATCCCATCAGCACCAAAACCAGGTAGGACCACACAGAGTTCACCTCTGCAAGCTTCACCCAAACTCTCCTGCAAGCCAGAAATCTGAGGAACCCCTCTTATACCACTACACTGGATTTTTAACTCCCTCAGCATGACTGAGGTGTGAATTCAGAAGGTGTTTGATGCACCAAGCAGGTTCATGGGGCCGTGGTTAATGAGCCAGGAGTGCTCCTGGCTCCGAGTGTGAACACTGGCAAAGCTCCCAGTCTGTGAGGAGCCCATTCCCGACCCTGCTCAGCCCTTCCAGCTTCAGTTTCCATGTGCAGAAACCCAGTCCTGAGGCTGGGAATGCTGGGAATACTCTGGCTGTGCCTTACAGACCCCCGAGGGGGCTAAGAAATGCAGTTTATTGCTGGGCACCAAACAGATGCAGCCGCGCTGTGACATAACCGGGGTGTGAGTGACATTAACACCATTTCCTCGGGGCTGCCTTTCAACACTTCCATCTGGAGCTGGGAACAAAGGCAGGGGGGTTAGCCAGGGAAATCTGGGCGAGGGGAGGGAGGGCAGGATGTCTGGACACACACTGGCACACGCTCAGGGATGCACAGTGGCAGGGACCCGCGTGTTCCCTCCTACAGGTGCAGGAATTGGGTCCAAGGCAGGCAATTGCTGCTCTCACCCGTGGAATTTCTCACCCAGACCATCCAGGATCTCTGTGCAGGCCCTGCCTTGGTGCAGGACAGCAATGTGAGCTCTGGGGACAGCGGTGGCTCCCATTTGTTGGTGACAACAGATGCCAGCAAGGAGTTCTTGCCTGGTACCCTCCACCTGCAGAATTCCCTGATTGCTGGGTGAGCAAAAGCCAAACCTTTCCCTTCCTCTTTCACTGATATCTCTTGCTCTGGGGTCTCCTACATTTTCTGTAATAGGTACTGAAAATATTTTCTCTCTGTCTAGTTTAGCAGCCAGTGTGTTTTCAATCCTGCATGAGAGGGAAGGGATTTCTTTTTGACAAGTCTTGTTAATAATGGGTCATCCTTAGCACAGACAATCTCCTGGAGTTTAACCTAGAGGGATTTTTTTCACCCCATTTTCTTCTTCCCACCTGCAAAGCTATCTGCAGAGGCCCTGCCATGGTTATTTGTGTTTTCTGGGCCTTTCTTCCCCATCCCTCTCCCATCACAGCTTGGTTTGCCATGGGAGCATCTCCAGGCAGAAAACAAAACACTCCAAAGACACCACGATGTTCTTCCTCCCGTAGGAGTTCCCCAGGTGGGCTCTGTGATTCCTGCACAGCTCCTGGCCCAGACTCAGAGTGGCAGGAAAACCAAATCCCCACAGATTTCACATCTACCCCGTCTGTGTGAGCTGCTTTTCAGGGTTACATTTTCTCTTCATATTTCGATCCTCCTGTTTGTGCCTGGAGAATGT